TCGTTCCAGTTACGTATTTATCATCCGAAAGTGACCAAGCCGTAATAACGATGATGCCCTCATTAAAATGGAAAAACACTGAACATTTGGATAGAGGACCTAAACCGCGCCACTTGACTACAAAATTAACCAGGCGAAAGCTAAGAACTTTATGATAAGTTTTCTAAAAGGTGATAATCATGGTGATAGCGATGAGTGATGATCAGAGTGATGAAGTGACAATAGGGTGATAGTGACAATTTGAAAAAATTTGCAGCTAACAAAGGATGGTTAGAAATTCAGACATCATTATGGGCTGCATAATATAAAAAAGTGACTGGCGAAGCAGCATCAGCCGAACACTGTGGCGAGAAGCATACCCTGCAGTTTCATAACCATAACAAAGGGTTATAGAGCCGGAACAAGTTTTTAATGCTGATGAGACAGCCCTAATTGGAAGAAGATGCCACCAAACCTACATCTCTAAGGAAAAAATTGCTGGTTTCAAAAGTTCCTAAGGACCGGTGACAGTGATGCTATGTGGGAATCGACAGGAGCATATGATTAAGCCCATGTTGTTATACCACTGCATACGACACTAAAGACTCTCAAAAATAAAACATAACACTACCAGTTTCTACAAGAACAACAAGCGTGGATGACATCTGATTTGCTGCGTGGATTGGCTGAAAACTGCTGCTAGAAGGTGAAAAATTATCTGGATGAACTTGGCATGGAGTTCAAAGGAGTATTATATATGAATTGCCTGGCCACTCTAGAAGAACTCAGACTACCCACCCCCAACATTGAGGTGCAGACACCAAAAACACCACCCCATCATCCAACCAATGGACCAGGGAGTCATTGTCGTATTTAGGCTAAATATGCAGAAGACTTTCAGCATGATTCGTGAGTGCATCGATAAGGATGCTGATGTGACACCCAGAGAAATGTGGAAGAAATTGACCTTGCACAGTGCATAAACTTCACAAGCTGAAAGCCACAATGAACATGTGCAGAACTGTGTCCACGATCATGTTGGAAAAATTGGCCTGAAATTGCCATTCACAGGTTCCCAACACCTGAGCCTCAATTCCTTGCAATAACTTCCTATAGATGAAGTTGGAGGTGAAGGGTTCCTCTGACTAACAGCGGCAGAGGTCACAAGAAAATTATTAGAATGTTGGGGATCCATTACAAGTGATGAACTAGAACAATAATAGTGGGCTTGCAGGATGGAAACAGAAGATGAAGTGAGTGATGATGAAAATAAGAACTTAACTTTAGATAATCTTGGTGAAGTAATAAGAATGAGTAAGGCCCTCTCATAACGTCTCTGACAGCATTGATCCCTCCTTGATAGGTCCTTAAAGCAAAAAGAGCTATTGAAAATGTTATGTTGCTATATATAGAACTTCAAGAGGAAATAGAAGCAAGCACAGACCACCATCACCAACTTCTTAGATCGCAGTGCCTGCCGCTCGAACCTGCCGACACCTCACAACAACAAGGCGTGGGCTGCCGGCACCTCACAACAACAAGGCCCAGTACCTGCCCACACACCCTCAAGAAGATGCAGACCTTGACTAATCATACTCATCTGACTGGTCAGGCTTTATAAGCCTCAATCATCCTTGTATATACTGTATATTGCACTGTATTTACTTTAAGGACGATGTTCACTTCTAAATGAAACCGTAGGTTGCTATATTTTGTCCACTTATTATATTATTATTTATACACTATTATTTAAGGTTATGTGTAAAGAAACGCATTAATGCTTAAGGTACATTTATTCAACATATGCTAATAATAGTTAGAAAAATTAATAATATGTATATCGGTTTCTTATCGCGACGTTACAGAAGCGTAACCCGTCGATAAAGGGTATGTATATATATATATATATATATATATATATATATATATATATATATATATATATATATATATATATATATATATATATATATATATATATATTATATATATATAATATATATATATATATATATATATATATATATATATATATATATATATATATATATATATATATATATATATATATATATATATATATATATATATATATATATATATTATATATATATATATATATATATATATATATATATATATATATATATATATATATTATATATATATATATATATATATATATATATATATATATATATATATTATATATATATATATATATATATATATATATATATTATATATATATACATTAATACCCTCTTAACGGTTTCACTTAACGTTTTATCATATCTTAACGAAGCGGTAGCGACTATAGCTCTAAAATTCGCCCAGTCATCAAAACATTACCGAGTTCTTCACCCGCCACCCACCACAGCCGGCCCAAGTCAGTGATAGTGATAATTATAGTGAGGATATGGACTTATATGGCCTTTGAGGGGTTTGACAAAGAGGCCCTGCAAGCCTCTGTGGTGGATAGTGATACAATTGATACAAGTGACACAGGTGAGGGCCAATAATCTGCCCCCTGCCTCGGAACCAACCCCCCATCCCCGTGTGCCCAGCCATCTTTTCTACTAATGCAAGTGTTAAAAAACCTAATATTATTGATATTTCTCTTAATTATTAATTGTGTGTGCATACCATCATAAAGTTAAGATAAAATTTTTACTACAACATAGTTGTGTGTCGTCAAAAAGTGGAGTTTGGGGGTCGGGCCAGTCTCTATTGGAATTAATCCCATATGTTCTGTTGTTCACTTAACGCGGTTTTCACTTAACGCGGTACCCTGTGGGTTCAATTGACCGCGTTAAGCGGGGTACTACTGTATATATATATATATATATATCTTTATAAAATCACACGGGAAAAGGGAAACAACGGAGCACCTTAGCTTTCGTCTTTATTCAAGACATCTTCAGAGGCAACTGGATTACATGGACAGAGAGAGGCTTAAATATACAGGGTGACCTTATTAAACATGAGGTCAGGTCACAATGATGTCATCCACTAATTTCCAAAACAACACACACGTAGAGGAGCTTAAGAGAAGGGGGTGAAGTGACTAGTCAGGTCAGGTCAAAAACAAGGGACCTACTAAATAACTATCCTACATCTAGATCAAAGTTTTTCAAAACATTTTTAACCTTGGGCCACTGACCAATAAATTTACCGGTATGTAAAATATATATATATATATATATATATATATATATATATATATATATATATATATATATATATATATATATATATATATATATATATATATATATATATATATATATATATATATATATATATATATATATATATATATATATATATATATATATATATATATATATATATATATATATATAGAGGTGCATTTTTCTCAGTTAAGAAAAAATGTGTTTGAGATGTTTAGGAAACTGGCTTCAAGGCACCCTGATGTGGAAACAACAGAACCGATATTGTGTGCCGTGGAGGACAAAGTGGTCTCCTTCAAGAACCAGCTAATGATCAGGAGAAATGCCACACAACTAATACCTGACAGCTTCTTCTCTAAAAGGCAGCGTGAGAAAGATGCTTCCCCTCAGTGTTCCTCTTCAAAAAGGAGAGAGGATTTTCATGTTAGAGAATCTGTCAGCCCAGAGGATACTGACAATATTATGGAAGGTGGCTGGCCTTCCAAGAAACATTAAAATGCTTCTCTTCTCCCTTCTCCTCCTCCTCCACCCCCTTCAATAAAGGGGATATAGATAAAGTTCTTATAATATCCGAGCAGGATAGGACTCGTAGCAACGGATTTAAGTTGGATAAGTTTAGGTTTAGGAGGGAGATAGGAAGGAACTGGTTCACAAATAGGGTGGTGGACGAGTGGAACAAGCTTACCAACTTTGTAGTAAGTGCTGGAATGCTGGAAAGTTTCAAAAAGAGCCTGGATAGATCCATGGATGATAGAGTGGTAGTAACTCTCGACAGGAGCTGCCATGCACAGGCCAACCGGCCTATTGCAGACTCCTTATTTTCTTATGTTCTTATGTTCAAATTCCCGTTATCATCAACCAGGAACCTTCTACAAACACACCTCAAAGTAAGTGTATTGTATTGCATTTTGTTTATACTTTGTATGAACGAATTGTGTTCGTTAACCAAGGGACCACTGTATAGTGCAGTGCAGTATGATACAGTACAGTATAATACAGTGCAGGATAGTACAGTACAGTATAATACAGTGCAGGATAGTACAGTACAGTATAATACAAAACAGTATAATACAGTACATGTACAGTATAATATAGGACAGTATAATACAGTGCAGTATAATACAGTACATACAGTATAATAAAGTACAGTATAATACAACACAGTACAGTATTACCCCGCCTAACGCGGTTTCACTTAACGCGTTTTATCATATACGCGGTGCCTCGCCAGAGCTGAACTTTCACTTAACACGGATTTTTTCCACATATACGCGGTGAGTGTCCGGCTCGAGACGCTATTTTTAGATTTGCCCCACCCGCCACCCTGCCTGACTGCCTGTTTTAGCTCATAAAATTCATACAAATTACCCGGCCAGAATATAATTTACATTGCTGGAATTCTTATAATTTGGTGATCATTTTGAATATAAACATCATATATTTTGCATTAGACATACAAATTTTAGATAAAAAATTTTCTCAGAGTAACTATGTTATCTTTTGTGCAAAATATATGACATTTATATTCAAAATATTCCTGGTCTTACAAGGAATCCAGCAATGTCAATTATATTATCCTAACTTTAGTTTGAGGTATTATTTATTAAAATTTAGTGGTTATCCCACACATCTCCTTGGGACGGTTGGTGGGGGGTGGGGGGGAGGGAGGGACCGACCGACCATCTGTTACCCGTGAAGAATTATTTTTTTTTATTAACTGAAGATAT